TTTTCCTGGCATCATTACTTTGGGAGATAAAAATAGAAACAGGCACAGAAACCCAATGTAGTGGTGTAAGGACTTCCCAGAACATCTTCAGGACACGTGTATTTTATATAAGCAGCTGTTTTCATGCTACCTCCGCTAGCTTTGTGCTGCTCTTTACAGGATTGGGTGAGTGGTGTTGTCTTTGGCTGTGTGGGCTTCTATGTGTTTCTAATGTGTCTGTCAAATAATGAATTACCTTTTAAACAGACTAACAACCTGGCCAAAGCCAATGCTTCTGAAGAAGACAAAATAAAAGCTATGATGATACAGTCCTGCCATGCGTATCAGCCTGTCAAGTAAGTATTGAGAAGGCCAAATATGTTCTTTGAAGGTTATGGCAAAGATGTGGAGATGTTTCTTTTAGGAAGAGAGACATGTGCATACCACTTTCTTTTTTTCCCCCAAACCTTTCAGTTACATGAAGAAACTCTTTGGTCCGCCTCCACCATCATATCAATGCTTTCGTTGCGGAAGACCTGGCCACTATATAAAGCACTGCCCAACAAATGGGGTGAGATTTTGCGCTACTTGTGGTGTTACTTAGTTCTTAATGTTTTGACCTTGCCAGTTGCCTGACAAATACATGAATACTCGTCCTAAGAATTGTTTCTCTTGGGCTGAAATTCAGAGGTTAGATGGCAATATTGCAAAGCCCTTCAAAGTTCCAGGAAACTTGGAATTATAAATGTAACATTTTCTTTTTTGTTAGGTCATGGACATTAAATCTGTCCATAGCTCTTTGTGCACTTTCATGCATAGTTTTCTATATTTCAATATTCCTGGAATTTTTTCTGGTTTTAACTCTTTTTAATGGCAGTTCACAGTTTGTAGTATTTCTTATAAAACCAAGATGTTTCTGTTGACCCCATCTGTTGAATATTTGCGTGCTTTAATTCCACAAGCCTCTGGTTGAGTATTCCTGCATTTAATGTTAGTCGCTGAACGAATAGGCATGAGGTATGAATTCAGCCTTCGTGTATAGATGGTGAATATAAAGTTTCCTTGGTGACTGATCCTGAATTAAGCTCTGTCTCTGAATTGCTCTTTGGAGGAGGAGCAGCTTTGTGTCTCTTCTCTGAGTGGCTGGTGAGCTAAGGGATATTTCCCCCTTAAGGAACCTGAAGTTAAGCCAAGGACTGTCCATTCAGTTCAAAGCACTGCTCAAGCCTTTGGGACGTCCTGGCTATATTCACTTAGGAGAATAAGTGCTTTAGTGAAGCAACCCTGACGCTCACTAAAGGGAGAGGATTAAAGGTTTTTGCTGCTTAAAATAATCACGGAAATGTCATTTTATGTGCGGGTCTTGAGATGAGATATGTCTGCGTTTCTTTTCTTCAGGACAAAAATGTTGCACCTGTTCCCAGAGTTAAAAAGAGCACAGGCATTCCAAGGAGTTTCATGATGGAGGTGAAAGATCCCAATACCAAGGGTGCTATGCTGACAAGCAGTGGGACATATGCCATACCAATTATTAATGCGTAAGTGTGGAATTAATTGGACTGACCAAAAAGCGTGCGAGAGAAACCACCTGGAAATGTCTGAGTGGCAATGCAACGAAGCTGGGCAGCATCTGGAACTAGGAGGGAGGAAGCATTGTCACTGTGTCTTAACCTTAAAACCTGTGATACTTTGTAGTCTTAAAACAGGGTGGTCCTAGTGTTGCTGCCCCTGGAAGTTGGTTACACTTGTGCTATGCTAAGGATCTGTATTTCTGCAAAACATTTCAGTAGTGTTTACAGTTGGAGTCGTTCTCTTTGGGAGCTGGTTTTCCTTCTGTTTATGTTTCAAAGGCTTCTTGCAAAATTTAGCGAAGAGCTGTTGGACTGAGATTTCCTCCCCCTCTGACTTTGATCAGATCTCATGTGTGAAATAATATGAAATCTTCCTGTTGCTATAAACAGAAAATACTACTGTGCGCTGACAAGAGTGGCTCTTTTAACACGCACTTGGTAGCACTGCTGGTTTTCTGTCATGGAGCTCCCTTCGTAGAAGCTGTATCATAGACTTCTTTCATTTATAAAATGTAATTACTCGTAGACTGACTTTACCCTGAGCCTGCAATTTACATTTACCCTCTGGCAAAGGAGAGGTGGGATTCATTCCGCCTGATTTCTAGCTGTCAAAAAAAAGTATTTTTCTAGTCTGAGCTATTTTCTTAGTTGATCCTCTGAATGGGAGAGTTCTGCAGAAGGAACATTGTTCCCCCTCCCTCTTCTGGTGGTGTGGCTATAGGAATATAGTTGAAATGAAATGCCTACGTTTTAGAAGGCTAATGTGGAGTGAGAAGAATTCCTTCCATGATCTTCCTTTGAAACAATCCAAAGCTTGGAAAAGTTTTCCTTTACCCATCCTTACTTTTTTTTTCTTTTTCCTTCCCCACCCGCTATCCAGGAAAGCTTGCGCTAGAGGAAAGAAGGAAAAGCCTCCCTTTCTACCAGAGGAGCCATCCTCTTCCTCCTCCTCACATGATCCTATTCCAGATAAGTTGTTATGTTTCATTTGTAAAGATATAATGACTGATGCAACAGTTATTCCCTGCTGTGGAAACAGCTATTGTGACGAATGTAAGTTAGATGCAGTTAGACATTTAATCCACATTCTTCTCCACAGGAGAATTAGTTAAAACCTTCTGACCTCAAACCTAGTCATGTTTTTTTGAAACGTGTTTTATTCATTAATCTTGTGGTTGGTGACTTCTCACTGGACTAGTCAGTGGAAAGAAGACTAGTCAAAACATCAAGTCACAGTCTCCTCTACAGCTTCAAATGGTACAGTAGTGAAATATCAAAACTGTATAGCTATTTGCTGCATACTCAAAATTTTTTACACTGTGCAACATTTATAGCTTCATGCTCTCCATTCAAGACCATCTTCACCCATTAATCATAGACGAGTTTTTATTATTGTTTAGAACCCCCACAGTGTCCTTGGTTTGGCTAAAAGCGATTTTGATGATTTGAATTATTCACATGTATTAGAACAGCCTTACTGGAATCTGAGGAACATACATGCCCAACGTGTCATCAGACAGATGTTTCTCCTGATGCTTTAAATGCCAACAAGTTCCTACGCCAGGTAACATGATGACTTTGATGTCAACTGCTTGTAAGAAAAGTCCATTTGTAAAAAACTGAAAGGAAAGAAAATAGTAATTTACACCTTTTTAGGCAAGGCTATTTTGAATAAGTCTAAATTTACTTTTCAAATACGTTCTCATATTGAATGCACTAATCTGTTGTTACAGCAGCTTGCAGCCCTTTAGAGGTGATCTGTGAAATTCAGGTCACGCTTTTGTTTAACATGCTTGCCTC